TTAGTGCTCTACCACTTGAGCCACAGCACCACTTCTGATTTTGGGGGGGTTAATTGGAGATAAGAGTCTCACAGACTTTCCTGTCCAGGCTGGCTTTAAACCAAGATCCTCAGATCAGCTTCCTGAGTAGCTAGGATTACAGGCATGAGCCACTGGCACCCGACAAACACAAGCATTTTCCTTTTTCTCTTTCTTTCTTTCTTTTTTTTTTTTTTTGTCATTTGTGGGGCTTGAACTCTGGACCTAGGCACTATTCCTCAGCTCTTCAGCTCAAAGCTAGCACTCTAGCACTTGAGCCACAGTGTCACTTTGCCCAGCATTTTAACAAGCTTTCAAGAAAAGAAAAGGAAGGGGAAAGACCATTTCTATTGCCGTAGTAAACATCAGGATCTTGATGTATATTTGATCAAAGCCATAATTTGATTTGTTTTTTTTTTTGGGGGGGGGGGGCCAGTCTTGGGACTTGAACTCAGGGCCTAGGCATGGTTCCTTAGCCGCTGTGCTCAAGGCTAATGCTCTACCAGTAGAGCATACTTTTGTTACTTAGTTGGAGAACAGAGTTTCGTGGACTTTCCTACCTAGGTTGGCTTCGAACAGTGATCCTCACACAGATCTTAGCCTTCTGAGTAGCCAGAATTGCAGGCATGAGCTACAGGTGCATGGCTTTTCATCTTTTTGTTTTTGTTTTTTGTTTGTTTGTTTTTTTGGGTCCGGTCGTGGGGCCTGAACTCTGGGCCTGGGCGCTGTCCCTCAGCTCTTCAGCTCAAGGCTAGCACTCTACCACTTGAGCCACAGCGCCACTTCCGGCTTTTTTCTTTTTGCTTATGTGGTGCTGAGGAATCGAACCCAGGGCCTCCAGCATGCAAGGCAAGCGCTCTACCACTGAGCCACCTCCCCAGCCCCTTATCTTTATATATATATATTTTTTTGACAGTGAAGCTAGCCTGGATCTTGTGATCCTGCTGCCTTAGCCTCTTAGATACTGGGATTACCATTAGGCCTGCCTTAATTTCATACTCTTAACTGGACGATTTTTTAAAATTTCTTGTGCTTAAGACACGTGTTTTTTTCTTTTCCAGCTTCTTGGACATTTGATGATTGTTGGCAAGAAATGTGCTGCTGATCTGGGCCTAAAGAAGGGCTATCGCATGGTGGTGAATGAAGGTGTAGATGGCGGCCAGTCTGTCTACCATGTTCATCTCCATGTTCTTGGGGGTCGTCAGATGCACTGGCCTCCTGGTTAAGCATGCTCCAGGGTAACTTTCCTTCTCTAGGCAGAGATGAGTCTTGCAAGTTCTAATATGTTTTAAATGGCAGGTATTTTTTTTTCCTATGTATGGAACTACTAAAGACATTTAAAAACCTATGCCTAATAAAAGACTTCATTGCATGGTGTGAGAGTCTGGGAATTGATTTATTATTTTAAGAAATATATTTGTTGGCGGGCTGGGAATGTGGTTAAGTGGTAGAATGCTCACCTAGCATGTATGAAGCCCTGGGTTCAATTCCTAAGTACCACATACACAGATAAAAACAGAAGTGGTGCTGTGGCTCATGTGGTAGACTGCTAGCCTTGAACAAAAGAAGCTCAGGGACAGTGCCCAAGCTCAGTTCAAGTCCCAGGACTAGCAAAAAAAAATTTTGTTGGAATGAGAAGCTTCTCACATTTTCTCCCAATGTGCCCAATATTTGAACATTGAATTGTTAGAATAGAGTGACTGACCTGAGATAGAAGTATTGATATGTTTGGTCCAGAATGTAGAAATTGTGGCGCTAAAGATAATGTCCAGACTACATGTTATATCTAAATTCTTAGGAGAGTTATGGAGAGATAAAGGATTTACTGGGCACAGATGGCTCACACCTATAATCCTAGCTACCTAGGAGGCTGAGATCTGAGGACTGTGGTTCAGAGCCAGCCCAGACAGGAAAGTCTGTGAGACTCATCTCCAATTAACCACCAGAAAACCAGAAGTGGCACTGTGCCTCAAGTGGTAGAGCACTTGCCTTACACTGAAGAGCTGAGGGACAGCGCCCAGGCCCAGAGTTCAAGCCCAGAACCAACAAAAAAAAAAAAGGAAAAAAAAGTCAGGTTTGTCACAGAATCTCATGACTGAGTGAAATCAAATTATTGATACCCTGCTATTTGAATTTGATCTGGCTGGGTGTTGTAGTACAAGTTTATAATCCCAGCACTAGGGAGCTAGAGGCAGAAGAATTGTGATTACCAGCTGGCACTCTACCACTTGAACTATACCTCCCAGTTCCAGCTTTTTGCTGGTTAATTGGAATAACAGTTTCTCAGATTTGTCTGCCCCGGGTGACTTGAAAACATGATCCTCACATCAGCCTCCCGAGAAACTAGGATTACAGGCATGAGCCGCTGGCACCTAGCCTTTGAATAATCTTGATTTTTTTTTTTTTCTCTTCAGAATGGTGGATTAGACTGAGGCTTTTAAGCACTTGCTAGGTAAGCATTTCAACACTTGAGCCACACCTCCCTTAAGCCTATACTTAGAGATGCTGACGAGCCAGTATGTGTTCCCAGAGTAAGTAGAATAGTAAAGAGCTACATTTTATGTAGGAAGTTGAAGGGATAGAGAAACTAGTGATTTTGACGCTTTAGGAGCTATATTTTTAAATATCAGTCGGTGAGGGGTTTAGGCTGACTGAATAAGGACCCTTCATAGCCAGAAATTATCTTGACAAATTAAGAATTTTCAAGAAGGTGGGCTATGGTTCTACAGTGGAAATAAATAGGCAGGGGAGGGGGAGGATCTTTTAATGATTGCGATCATTCAGAAGACACTCTAATACAATGTCCCAAGGTTATCTAACTTATTGGTTCTTGGATAAAAGACTGTCCAGTACATTAGGTTAAACTGAGTGCTCTGCAAATAAAATACACGATAATTCTTATTTTTGTTGGTCTTGGAGCTTGAACTTGGTCTGGAGCTTTTTTGCTCAAGGTTAGCACTCTACCACTTTGAACCACAGCTCTTGTTCCACCCCTTTGCAGGTTATTTGGAGATAAGAGTGTCATGGCTTTACCTGCCTGAGCTGGCTTGGAACTGGGATTCTCAGCCTAAGTAGCTAGGATTACAGGTGTGAGTCACTAGCACCTAGTGATTTACATCATCATCATTATTATTGGTCATGGGGCTTGAACTCAGGGCCTGGGTGCTATCCCTGAGCAATTTTTGCTCAAGACTAGTGCTCTACCAATTTCAGCCACAGCGCCACTTCTGATATTCTAGTGGGTAACTGGAGATAAGAGTCTCACAATGTCTCACAGACTTTTCTGCCTGGGCTGGCTTTGAACCAAGATCCTCAGATCTCAGCCACCTGAGTAGCTAGGATTACAGGCATGAGCCACCAATGCCCAGCTTGATTTATATTATTCTTAAGTATACTGCAAGTCATCACAAGAATAGGAAGATCAGTTAACTTAAAATTATGCAGGGCAGGGCTGGGAAGGTAGCTCAGTGGTAGAGTGCTTGCCTTGCTTGCTTGCGGCCCTGGGTTTAATTCCTCAGCACCACATAAGCAGAAAAAGCTGGAAGTGGTGCTGTGGCTCAAGTAGTAGAGTGCTAGCCTTGAGCTGAATGGCTGAGGGACAGCGCCCAGAGTTCAGGCCCCACGACCGCCCCCAATAAATAAATATGCAGGGCACCAATGGCTCACTTCTGGAATCCCAGCTACCCAGAAGCCTGAAATCTGAAGATCGCTGAAGCCAGCATGGTTAGGAAAGCCCGTGAGACTAATCTCCAGTAAACCAGTAAAAGGCCGGAAGTGAAGCTCTGTGGCTCAAATGGTGGAATGCTGGCCTTGAGCCAAAAGGTTCAGAGAGTGCTCAGGCCCTGAGTTCAAGCTCTAGGACCAGCATGTACACACATACACACACACGTAAATCATAAAAAAGGAAAAGTGCCTTGGAGATCCATAGGTCTTTTAATTTTAATTAAATTTTTAATTTTAAATAATTGACCTAGCTAAAAATTAATATTAGACTGTTGGCAGAGGGAAGGTGAAAAATGATTGGGCAGAACAAAATTGTGAGGGTTTGTTTTTGTTTTGTCAATCCTGGGGCTTGAACTCAGGGCCTGGGCACTGTCCCTGAGCTGCTTTTGCTCACAGCTAGCACTCTACCACTTGAGCTCCAGCGCACTTCTGGCTTTTTCTTTGTAGTGTGGTACTGAGGCATCGAACCCATGGCTTCATGCATGCCAGGCAAGCACTCTACCTACCACTAAGCCACATTCCCTAGTCTTTTTTTTTAAATCTGGGTTTTGAACTCAAGACCTGCTTGCTAGGCAGAAATTTATCTTGATGCTTGCAAGGCCCTACGTGAAGGTACTTAATATGCTTTATAGTTGTTCATGATGATGTCATTGCTAATTAATTACCATCCAGCAAAGCAGTTAAATTGCTTGAGTGCTCTGCAAATCTAATGCAGGAGGCAAGATAAGGCAGATTTAGAGGGTGAGACTAGCCTCTGGGATCAGGCCCAGAGGATTCGTAGCTCAGATTTACTAGCTTTGGTAATTTGGTAAATTATTTAATCTCACCTTACAGGAGAAAAATGACTGCACTGCAGAACTTCTGGAAGTGTCCAATCAATGCCTTCCGCGGTAGTGGTGGCTTGGTTTTTGTCACATTGCCAAGGAGACGGTTGCCAAGGAGACGGTCGCTGCTGGGAAATACTAAAATACTTTAATAGACGTGCCTCATTCCCAACTGGCAGTAAAGACCAGCCACTCGTTAAATACCAACGCAGGCTGGGCGCCAGAGGCTCCCGGCCGGAAGTGACTCTGCCCCTAACAAACATGGCCTCCGAGCGACTTCCGCTCTCCCGTCTGTCATTCGGCTCCGCCGCTCCGGGAAGTTTACGGAGTCACGACGCGCTTAGCAAACGTTTCACAGGCATCCTGCTGAAGGGGCGGGGCTACGCTGCAGGGTGATTGGTTGCCGTGCGTCAGAAGCGTGGCCACGGGGAGCGAGACTTTGATTGGCTATCGTGAGGCGGGACTAGCGGGGAAATCCTGAATGATGATTGGTTGGGGGTGTTAGGCGCGCGCCCTCGGGAAATGAGACGTCCGTGCGGGCTCTGCCTTGGCTGCCGAGAGGCGGGGTGAGCCGGCGGCCCCTGAGGTGACGGGGACGGCGTGGGGAGCCATGGGTCAGGCAGTGAAGGTGACAGGGGCTGGGGAGGGGTGGGTGCGGTGCGGATGGGGAGCGGAGGGGACGACTGGGGGACGGTTGTGGAGTTCCTGGGGGTTGAGGTTGAGGACCCTGAGGGCCGTCGGGGGCCTGCAGGTGCGCGGGTGGGAGGGGCTGCGGGTGGGGCCCCAGCGCCCGGCACCGGCCGGGACGGGGGGCCGGGGGGGGGGGGTTACCTGAGATAAAAACACTCGTCTTGGAAACTGGGACGCCTGTCATCCTGGCTACCCAGGAGGCTGAGATGTGTGGAGCGCGGTTCGAAGCCAGCCTGGGCAGGAAAAGCCCCCTGAGAGCCACCCAAAAGCCGGAAGTGGAGCTGTGACTCAAGTGGTAGAGCGCTAGCCTGGAGCAGAAATGCTCCGTGATAAAGTTTCCAAGCCCTGAGTTCAAGCCCCGGGGCCGACACGTACACACGCGCGTGCAAAAACATGGGTTGGGTGTGCCCCCCCCCCTCCCCAATCCGTCCTCACGAGTATTGATTTGTCTGAAGGACCCATTTCACATCCCAGGAAATAAAGAAGACCCAAAACGCGAATTTAAGATCCACCCAGCTTTCTTTAACGTGTAGTGTTTGCATGTGCTTTCTTTTGTAATAAAACATTATACAAAAAAAAGAAAAAGTTCCAACCAGCCAATCGAGTGTTATGTTTGTTCCCATATCTAGAGGTGAGGAACCAAGGAAAGATTCCCCAGCGAAATGCCTTGGAAAAGTAGCACTTAGCGAGACACCTGTGAGACCTGAACCAGGGGAAGGGAGATGGGTGAGGGTGCTTGGGCACCCCAGATCCCGTCTCTCTAGGGACCCTGGGCTCAGGTTCATTTCTAGTCAAGTGCATTCCTTGTTGGTGCCCAGTTCTCAGGCAGCCATCTCTTAGCTTTAAATATCGACATGATGGTCAATTGGAATCTGTCGTTGTCACACAGCGCACAACACTGCAAGGGAAAAAGCTATGTTTTATGATACATCAGTAATAAGCCACCAAGCATCCCTCGTGGACTGTTGAACTCAGGGCAGGGAAAGACACAATTCTATCACGTTATTCATTCAAGAATTATATTGAAGCCGGATGTTGGTGGCTCACACCTGTAATCCTAGCTACTCAGGAGACTGAGATCTAAGAGTATGACACTCTTATCTCCAAGTAACCACCAGGAAACCAGAAGTGGTGCTGTGGTAGGGTTCTGTTCTTGAGCCAAAAAGTTCAGGAACAGTGCCCAGGCCCTGAGTTCAAACCCCAAGGCAGATAAAAATAATAGTGATAATTATTATTATATTGAAGCCCTAAGATGAGTGTTCATGCCTGTAATCTTAGCCACTTAGGCAGATGAGATCTGAGGATTGCCATTGGAAGACAGGTCAGGCAGGAGTCTGTGAGACTCTGATCTCCAAAAATCTAGAAGTAGAGATGTGGCTCAGGTGGTAAAATGCTATCCTTGAGCAAAAAAGTTCAGGGACAGCAGCACCTAGGCCCTGACTTCAAGCCCCAGGACGTACACAAACACACAATATGTTAGGTACTAATAGCCATAAATTATCTGTACTGTACTACCTGGGCATACTAAAGGCACCACTTTGCCTTTATAAAGAAATACACTAGGGGCTGGGAAGGTGGCTCAGTGGTAAAGCACTTGCCTTGCATGCATGAGGCCCTGGGTTTGATTCCTCAGTACCACATAAGCAAAAAGAAAAAAGCCGGAAGTGGCGCTGTGGCTCAAGTGGTAGAGCGCTAGCCTTGAGCTGAAGAGCTGAGGGATAGCACCCAGGCCCAGAATTCAAGCCCCACGACCGGACCCAAAAAAAAAAAAAAAAAAGAAATATACTAGGTAGGGAGAAGGGCAATATTTCTTAATAATTTTTATTGAGATTAAGTGATTACATAAATTTCACAGTATTGTGGGGGTAGTGATACTTAGTTAAAGTCACAAACACATTTTAACCTTCACAGGGCATATTGTCATGATCATGGTTTATAAAGCTTGTGGATAATATAAGCTTTGACTGTACAACTATTTCTTCCAAATTGGGTGATATGTGCATTTCTTTCCTTTTGCTTAATGTCAGCTGTTCCCTCTTTCCCTCTCCTTCCCTCCCATCACTTCCCTTGAAATACTAAGTTCATTTTCATCAATGTCCAGTGCAGCTGATGGGCCAAGAAGGTCAATATTGAGAGAACAATATTTAGCACCCTTTTTGGACTTAGAAGTGAGAGGTAGCCTCAGCATGTCACTGAAGTCTCTTGGCAGTGTGACTTTTTTTTTTTTTTTGGTTGATTGTGGGGCTTGAACTCTGGGCCTGGGCTGTCCCTCAGCTCTTCAGCTCAAGGCAAGCGCTCTCCCACTTGAGCCACAGCACTACTTCCAGTTTTTTCTGCTTATGTAGTGCTGAGGACTCGAACCCAGGGCCTCATGCATGCAAGGCAAGCACTCTACCACTGAGCCACCTTCCCAGCCTGGCAGTGTGACTTTTTACTAAACTTTCAGGCTCTTTTCTTACCCTTTTGTCTCAGCACTGCACTTCTCATGTGAGCAATCAGTTAACCTCTCCTAAATTGTATTTTCTTTCTGAGCCCTCCTAAGATGTAAGTTCATGATTTTATATGTATGTGATTTGAAGAGCAGATAAAAGCTTTAGTGTCTTCAAAAGAGAGCAAATACTTACAATACTAGCAAACTGGTTTATGGCAAAATGATTATGACATAAGCATCCTTGTATTGTTTTTGTTCTTTGTTTCTTTGCATGTTTGTGTGTTTGGTTTTTTTGGGGGGGTCCGGTAATGGGCCTGAAGTCTGGGCTTGGGTGCTGTCCCTCAGCTCTTCAGCTCAAGGATAGCGCCCTACCACTTGAGCCACAGCGCCACTTCCGGCTTTATTTTTTCTGCTTATGTGATGCTGAGGAATCGAACCCAAGGCCTCATGCATGGCAAGCGCTCTACCACTGAGCCACCTTCCCAGCCCTGTGTTTTGAAATAGGGTCTCACACATTCTGTGGTCCAGGCTGGCCTGAAACCATATGTAAACCAGGCTAACCTGGAACTTGAGAACTTCTTGGGACAGGATCCCTGGCCTCCCAAATTCTGGGATTACAGGTGTGCACCACCATTCCCAACTTTGTTTTGTTTGCTTTGTAGGACTTGGTATATAATGCTTAAAGTTTTTTTCTTCCCCCATGTGTTAGGGGTGGAGCCCAGGAACTCATTCATGCTATGGATGTACTTTACCTCAGCCCCTAAACATTTTTAATTTAAATAAACAAGGGAAAGAGAAAGGTTTTTGTTTTGTTTTTGTTTGTTTGTTTGTGTTGCTGGTCCTACTTGAACTTAGGGCCTGATACTGTCCCTGAGCCTCTTTGTGCTCAAGGCGAACACTCTACCACTTGAGCCACAGCGCCACTTCTGACTTTTTGATATTTAACTGGAGGTAAGAGCTTCGGGGACTTTCTGCCCAGGTTGGCTTGAACTGTGATCCTCAGATCTCAGCCTTCTGAGTAGCTAGGATGATAGGCGTGAGCCATCAGCAACCTGCTGGAAAGATTTGTTTTTAAATTTTGAAGGCCTGATGTTTACAAGCTATTCTGAAAGGTAATTTAAGATAATAATAGGAATAACACACACACACACACACATACATAAGAGAAATAAATAGAAAAGGAAAATTGTTTAATCTTTGTAATCCAGTTATATAAAATGTGAAATTTTTTTCTCAGGAGGTCTGAATTCCGATTTTCTTAACAGGTTTTACAGCTCTTTAAAACACTGCACAGAACCAGACAGCAAGTTTTTAAAAATGATACCAGAGCATTGGAAGGTAAAATTGTGTGTGTGTGTGTGTGTGTGTGTGTGTGTGTGTGTGTGTGTGTGTGTGTGTGTGTATTCCCTTTTGTTTTAAGTCTTTACTTTAAATGACTGGCGACCCACACCCACCTTACTTAATGAAAACCCAGCTTGGGAATGACTTTCACTGGCTCTCTTCTGATGGTATATTTGTTTTTTGGGTTTGGGGGATTTTGTGTTTTGTGTTTGCCAATCCTGGGGCTTGAACCCAGGGCCTGGGCACTGTCTTTGAGCTTCTTCTTTTTTTTTTTTTTTTTGTCGGTTGTGGGGGCTAAACTCTGGGCCTGGGCGCTGTCCCTCAGCTCTTCAGCTCAAGGCTAGCACTCTACCACTTGAGCCACAGCGCCACTTCCGGCTTTTTCTGCATATGTGGTGCTGAGGAATCGAACCCAGGGCCTCATGCATGCAAGGCAAGCACCCTACCACTGAGCCACCTTCCTAGCCCTGAGCTTCTTTTGTTTAAGGCTTGAGCCACAGTGCCATTCCTGCTTTTTCTGTTTATGTGGTACTGAGGAATTGAAACCAGGGCTTCATGCATGCCAGGCAGGCACTCTACCACTAAGCCATATCTCCAGCCCCAAGTTTTTTGGTTTTTTTGTGCAGGTCCTGGGGCTTAATCTCACTGCCCCCAAGCTTCTATTGCTCAAAGCTATTATTAAACCATTTGAGCTATAGCCCCTTTCTGGTGTGTTTGTTTTTCTTTCTTTCTTTCTTTGTTTTGTTGATTAATTGGAGCTAAGAGCCTCATAGACTTTTTCTACCTGGGTAGGCTTTGAATGTAGATTCTCATATCTCAGCCTGTTGAATTACAGGCCTAAGTTACCAGTGCCTGGCTTAATATTATGTTTTGTAAAGATTTGTTTATACTACACTTCTTTCAGAAGTATATACTTAAAAAATGATAAAGATTTCTCAAAGAATCAGGAAAAAAAAAAGGTTGGGCCAGGTGTCAGTGGCTCACACCTGTAATCCTAACTACTCAGGAAGCTGAGATCTGAGGATCATGGTGCAAAGCCAGACTGAGCAGGAAAGTCTGTGAGACTCTTATCTCCAATTAACCACCAGAAAACCAGAGGTGGCTCTGTGGCACAAGTGGTAGAATGTTTGTCTTGAGCTGAGGAGCTGAGGGACAGCACCCAGGCCCCAGAGTTCAAGCCCCATGACCAAAGAAAAAAAAGATCTCGTGAGAATTTCAGTGTTTGCCATGACTTGCCTTTGGTTCAAGCCATGAGTCTTCTTTTTTTGGGGGGGAGGGAGGGTCCTGTCCTGGGGCCTGAACTCTGGGCCTGGGCACTGTCCCTCAACTCTTCAGCTTAAGGCTAGCGCTCTACCACTTGAGCCACAGTACCACTTCCGACTTTTTTCTTTTTGCTTATGTGGTGCTGAGGAATCGAACCCAGGGCCTCAGGCCTGCGAGGCAAGCACTCTACCACTGAGCCACCTTCCCAGCCCATGAGTCTTCTTTTATGTAAACAAATTTCTTTTTTTTTGCCGGTCATGGGGCCTGAACTCTGGGCCTGGGCGCTGTCCCTCAGCTCTTCAGCTCAAGGCTAGTGCTCTACCACTTGAGCCACGCACCACTTCCGGCTTTTTCTGTTTATGTGGTGCTGAGGAATCGAACCCAGGGCCTCATGTATGCAAGGCAAGCACTCTACCACTGAGCCACCTTCCCAGCCCAACAAATTTCTTTTATGGAAACAAAATTTCACTCTGGAAGATCACATACACTGTATTGTCTGTGTCAATCTGGAAGTCTCCACAGATATGGAAGGAAAATCCAATCCAAATCTAATTTACATCCACATTCTGTGTTTCACTGAAGCTTAAACTTAGACCTAAACACTATCCCTGAGCTTTTTTTATTTTTATTTTTAGTTTTGGCACTCCTGGGGCTTGAACTCAGGGCCTGGGCACTGTCCCTGAGCTTCTTTTGCTCAAGGCTGGCACTCTACCACTTGAGCCACAGAGCCACTTCCGACTTTTTCTGTTAATGTGGTACTAAAGAATCCAACCCAGGGCTTTATGCATGCTAGGCAAGGACTCTGCCTGGAAGCCACATTCCCAGTCCTCTATAAGCTTTTTTGTTTAAGGCTATCTCTTTTTTTTTTTTTTTGGTCCGGTCATGGGGCCTGAACTCTGGGCCTGGGCACTGTCCCTCAGCTCTTCAGCTCAAGGTGAGCACTCTACTACTTGAGCCACAGTGCCACTTCTGGCTTTTTTTTTCTGCTTATGTGGTGCTGAGGAATCGAACCCAGGGCCTCATGCATGCAAGGCAGGCGCTCTACCACTGAGCCACCTTCCCAGCCCGCAAGGCTATCTCTTTACCACTTAGCCATAGCTCCACTACTGGCGTTTTGGTGGTGAAGTAGAGATAAGAGTCTCATGAACTTTCCTGTGTGGGCTGGCCTTGAACCATGATCTTCAGATCTCAGCCTCCTGAATAGCTAGAATTCCAGGTGTGAGCCATTGGTGCCCAACTCTAAGTACATTTCTTAACCTTCTTAAGAAGGTGTCTGGTAAAGTGGCCCCCACTTCGGAAATTAAGTTTTCCTAATTCAGAGCTGGGCTCTGGCAGACTAACTGAGCAACTTTATACAGATCGTTCCTTCAGTTGCTCTCCACAGCAGGTGAGACTGAATAGATTGGATTAAGCTGCTACAATGATATAAAGTGATATAACAAAATAGTATAGCAAAAGTCTTTATTTTTATCTAAATGAAGGCACTCAAAATTATAGATGTGTCCTTCTGACTCTTGTATTTTAAGCTACCCATGTGTGTACATTGTTTAATACGTTTGTCTTTATTGACTTTTGTTTTGTCAGTCATGGGGCTTGAACTTTGGACCTGGGTGTTGTCCCTCAGCTCTTCCGCACAAGGCTAACGCTCTACCACTTGAGCCATAGTGCCACTTCTGGATTTTTTTTTTTTTGTTTGTTTATGTGGTGCTGAGGAATCGAACCCAGGAGGTCTTGTATGTAAGGCAAGCACTCTACCACTGAGCCACCATTCCCAGCCCCTTTATTGACTTTTAATAAAGACATTTTTGTCATGTCTGGGTTCATGAAATCAATTCCAGCACTTGGGAGGCTGAGACAGGAGAATTATGAACTTGAAGATAAGTGTAGGTTAGATAGTGAGACTTTGTCTGGAAAAAGAAAAAAATCAGGTTCTGGTGGCTCACGCCTGAAAGCCTCGCTACACAGGAGACTAAGAACTGAGGATCACAGTTCCAACCCAGCCTGGTCAGGAAAGTCCTGAGACTCTTCTCTCCAGTTAAATACCAAAAAGCCAAGCCAGGCTCTGGTGGCTCATGCCTGTAATCCTAGCTACTCAGGAGGCTGAAATCGGAGGATCATGGTTCAAAGACAGCCCAGGCAGGAATGTCCATGAGACTCTTTATCCACAATAAACTGCCAGAAAACCAGAAGTGGTGCTGTGGCTCGAGTGGTAGAGCACTTGCCTTGAGCTGAAGAGCTGAAGGATAGCACCCAGGCGCAGAGTTAAGCTCCATGACTGACAAAACAAAAAACAAAACTAAACTAAAAAGCCAGAAGTCAAGTTGTGGCTTAAGTGGTCTTAAGCCACAAAAGTGCTGGTCTTAAGCACAAAAGCTCAGGGACAGGGCCCAGGCTCTGAGTTCAAGCCCTAGGACTGGCACAAAAAGTAAAAAGAAGGACTGGGAAGGTGGCTCAGTGGTAGAGCGCTTGCCTTGCATGCATGAAGCCCTGGGTTTATTCCTCAACACCACATAAGCAGAAAAAGCCAGAAGTGGTGCTGTGACTCAAGTGGTAGAGCCCAAGCCTTGAGCTGAAGAGCTGGGGGACAGCGCCCAGGCCCAGATTTCAGGCCCTACAGCCTACAAAAAAAGAAAAAGAAAGAAAGAAAATGAAAGACATTTTAATCTAAACACTTAGAGAAAAATATTTATTTGGATTTATTAAAATCTAGTGACTAAAGGGACACAAAATTGCAAGAGAAAAATAGAGTAATGAAAGTTTATATTACGCTCCCCTCTCCCCCACAAATTTTGGTAGCCTTTCAAAACTCTCCATGAAACTTTTTAAATACTTTTTCTTTCTTTTTTTTTTTTTTTTTGGGTCCAGTCATGGGGCCTGAACTCTGGGCCTGGGCGCTGTCCCTCAGCTCTTCAGCTCAAGGCTAGAGCTCTACCACTTGAGCCACAGCGCCACTTCCAGCTTTTTTCTTTTTTCTTATGTGGTGCTGAGGAATCGAACCCAGGGCCTCAGGCATGCAAGGCAAGCACTCTACCACTGAGCCACCTTCCTAGCCCTAAATACTTTTTCTTATGCTTTGCTTTACATACAATCAAAACCTTTTCTTAGAGAAGTAGAAATTCATTTACATAATATAAATTATTGGGACAGGAATTATAAGTTAGAAAAACAAATAACCAAGCTCACACTTATAATCTTAGCTACTCAGGTGGCTGAGATCTGAGGATAGTGGTTCAAAGCCAGCCTGGGCAGGAAAGTCCTTGAGACATTTATCTCCAATGAGCCACCAGAAAACCGGAAGTGGCACTATGGCTCAAGTGGTTGAGCTCAAGAGCTCAGAGACAGTGCCTAGGCCCAGAGTTCAAGCCCCATGACTGACGAAAAAAGAAAAGAAAAACAAATAACCTTATATATATTTTTTCTCTCTAGCAGCCAGAATAAAGATCAATGAAGAATTCAAAAGTAACAAGAGTGAGACTTCTCCTAAGAAAATAGAAGAGGTACAGTTGTTTTCAATTCCAATAAAACTTGGAATTTTTTTGAAAAAGAGGAAATGATGGAAATAGATGGTCATTTGAAAGGAAAGTCATCCTCCTTGAAACCCTCCACTTTACTTGACGTGGCTCACCTACTCAGGACCATTTCCCTGTCCCTAAAAGATAACCCCTTGCCTGTGGCAAGAACAATGGAGGTAGCAATGATCAAAGCAAGAGCTACTTAGCCAATGCAAAACACAAAATCCTCTCTTTGCCTGAGGCAGGTCGGTGTTATAGAAACTCAGAACCCTAGACGGAACTTCCTTACTCATGTATGTGTGTGTGTGTTTGCATGTTTGCATGCACATACGTGTGCATGTATGTAGGTGTACCTGCCAGTCTTAGGGCTTGATCTCTGCCTGCTTGCTGTCCCTGATCTCTTCTGCTCAAGCCTAGCCCTCTACCATTTGAGCCACAGCTCCATTTCTGGCTTTTTCTTGGTAGTTAATTGGAGATAAGCGTCCTCACGGACCTTCCCGTGCCAGCTGGCTTTGAACCATGATCCTCAGATCTAAGTCTCCTGAGTAGCCAGGATTACATATATGAGCTACCAGCCCCCAGTTTCTCTGGGAATTTTTTTTTTTTTTTTTTTTTTTGGTCCGGTCATGGGCCTGAACTCTGGGCCTGAGCGCTGTCCCTCAGCATTTCAGCTCAAGGCTAGCACTCTACCACTTGAGCCATAGCACCACTTCCGGCTTTTTTTTTTTTTCTGGTTATGTGGTGCTAAGGAATCGAACTCAGGGCCTCATGCATGCAAGGCAAGCGCTCTACCACTGAGCCACCTTCCCAGCCCCTTCTCTGGGAATTTTTGAGATAGAATCTTGCTTTTTGCCTGTGCTGGCCTGCAACCACAACCCTCTTCTTTTTTTTTTTCTGCCAGTCCTGGACCTTGAACTCAGGGCCTGGGCACTGACCTTGAGCTTCTTTTGCTCAAGACTAGTACTTTACCACTTGAGCCACAGCACTTTTTCTTTTTATGTGGTACTGAGGAATTGAAACCCAGGGCTTTGTGCATGCTAGGCAAGCACTCTACTACGAAGCCACATACCCAGCCCACAAGCCTCTTTTTTTTGTTGGTTGTGGGGCTTGAACTCAGGGCCTGAGTGCTGTCCCTAGACCTCTCTGTGCTCAAGGCTAGTGCTTTACCACTTGAGCCACGGCCCCATTTCCCATTTTTGAGTTGATTAATTTGGAGATCAAAGTCTCATGGAGACTTTTCTGCCAGGGCTGACTCTGAACTGCAATCCTCAGATCTCAGCCTCCTGAGTAGCTAGGATTACAGGTATGGATCACTAGAACCCAGCTACAATCTTCTTACTTAAGCTTTCCATGGTAGCTGGGCTAACAGACATGTGCATCCACACCCAGCTTTTTCTGCTGAGTGGGCTGGCCTTGAAATGCAGTCCTCCCGATTTCAGCAACCTAAGTAGCTAGGATTACAGCCATGAGCCCCTGAAACTCTCTGACCAATGGATTTTAGTCTTTCTCCTGCACTAAGCAGTACAGTAAGTCATCTTATTTGCAAGTTTATCACATATGGTTTTGACAGACACAGAGAAACAGAGAGAAGAGAGAGAGAGAGACAGAGAGAGAGAGAAAGAGAGAAATCAAAACAAAATTGCACAGTCTAGTTAATGTGGAGAAGCTCTCAGGCAGTCCTGTATTTAACTTGGTGTATGAGCTGCTGTTTTTATGCCCTGACCTTTGTACAAATCTGCCTCCCCACAAAGCAGCTTATACCTACCTACAGAGCAAGGGAAAAGTGAATTGCTTAATTTAAGTGATAAAGTGAAAACTTGAGGTTTGTTGAAAGGTAGCAGGTCTCTAAGCAGAAGTTGGGGACACTAGGAAAAAAGGCGTCAGGCACTATTCTGCACCTCCTGATCATTCACAACTTTTCCTCAGCAGCAGTCCCCAGGAACCATTCACCCCCAGTTATCAAGACTCTACTGTAAGCCGTGCACTATGGCTCAGACCTGTAATCCAAGCTCCTCAGGAGATGGAGATCTGAGGATCACAGTTAGAAGTTAGCTGGGACAGGAAAGTCTCTGAGGATCTTATCTCCAGTTAACTAGCAAAATCCTGGGAGTGGAGCTATGGCTCAAGTGGTAGAGGGTCAGCTTTGAGTGAAAAAGTTTAGGGACAGTACCCAAGCCCTAAATTCAAGTCCTAGTACCAGCGCGCCCGTGCACGCACACGCGTGCGCGCGCACACACCCACACACAAGTCTACTGTACAGTGAGCATAGTTTATTATATGAAATCTTAAAATTATATCATGGGCTGGGAATGTTGCTTAGTGGTAGAGTGCTTACCTAGTATCCATGAAGCCCTGGGTTCGATTCCTCAGTGCCACATAAACAGAAAAAGCCAGAAGTGGTGCTGTGACTCAAGTGGTAGAGTGCTAGCCTTGAGCACAGAGTCTTAGGGATAGATCCCAGGCTCTGAGTTCAAGCCCCAGGACTGGCAAAAAACATTATATATTATAATTACAGCTGTTAGTACCATATTATTAGAAAAATCCTTTTAGTACCAGGAAGCTTCCAAGCTCATAGCACATACAAGTAGCTCTATGGTTCCAATTTTTGTTTGAAAGCTGGAATTTTATCATTGTCAGCATATATTGTCAATTGGTTTTTCTCAAGAGAAACACATTTCACTCGTGTTCAAGAAATTATCTGCCAACTACACACCAGTGGCTCACACCCCTAATCCTAGCTATTCAGGAGGCTGAGGATCATTGTTCAAAGCCAATTCAAGCAGGAAAGTCCATGAGATTCTTATCTCTAATTAACCACCAAAACGCAAAAAATGGAGCTGTGGCTTACATGGTAGCAAATGCTCAAGGATAATGCCCAGACCCTGAGTTTAAGCCGCAGGACCAGCACATACACACACACACACACACAAATAATAATAATAACTAGCTGGGCACTGGTGGCTCAAGCCTGAAATCCTAGCTACTCAAGAGGCTGAGATCTGAGGATCATGATTCAAAGCCAGCCCCAGCAGGAAAGTCCATGAAACTCTTATCTCCAATAAACGACTCAGAAAACTGGCACTGGCGCTGTGGCTCAAGTGGTAGAGTGCTTGCCTTGAGCTGAAGAGCTGAGGGACAGTGCCCAGGCCCAGAGTTCAAGCCCCATGACTGCCAAAAACATAAAATAATAATAATAATAACAACTAATCTGCCAAATACCTTGGTCTGAGTAATCATAGTTTCTCAAGGCTCTTTCAAGAAATTAACCTTTTTTTCCCCTGTACTGGGGCTTGAACTCAAGGTGTGGGTGCTGTCCTTTACCTTTTTCTTTCTTTTTTTTGTCTTCTGCTTACGTGGTGCTGAGGACTCAAACCCAGGGCCTCATGCATGCAAGTCAAGCACTCCACCACTGAGCCACACTCCCAGCCCCCTCCTTTAGCTTTTTCACTCAAGGCTAGTGCTCTACCACTTGAGCCATAGCTCCACTCCCAGCTTTTTGGTGTTTAATTGGAGATAAGAATCTCTTAGATTTCCCAGCCTGGGTGGGCTTCAAACCATGATCCTCAGATCTCAGCCCCCTGAGTAACTAGGGTTACAGGTGTGAGCCTCCAGCGCCTGTCTTTAAAAGGCTGTTTTTATGGAGGAAGTTACACTTCCATTTACACTTAAACAATACAGAAAAAGAATTTTGTCCTCACAGATCCCTGAAGGGATCTTCAATCTCTCAGGGGCCCAGAGCTAGAGAACCAGTGTTTGGGGCCCGTTTCTCACTCTGCACATGAGGTCTAATGCTAGAGGAGAAGATGGTTAACCTACACTATGTCTCTAATGACAGAGCCAACGTGGAACAGTCTGTGTTCAGGAAACCAGCTCTATAAAGAAAGTCCCAAGCTGGGTACCAGTAGCACATGCCTGTAATCTTAGCTACTCAAGAGGTTGAGATCTGAGGATCACAGTTTGAAGCTAGCCTGGGCGGGAAAGTCTGTGAGAATCTTATTTCCAGTTAATCAACAGAAAACCCTAAATGTCGCTGTGGCTCAAGTGGTAGCCCACTAGCCTTGAGCACAAAGAATCTCATGGGCCGGGCGCTGGTGGCTCACGCCTGTAATCCTAGCTACTCAGGAGGCTGAGATCTGAGGATCGCGGTTCAAAGCCAGCCCGGGCAGGAAAGACCGTGAGACTCCTATCTCCAATAAACCACCAGAAAACCGGAAGTGGCGCTGTAGCTCAAATGGTAGAGCTCTCGCCTTGAGCTGAAGAGCTGAGGGACAGCACCCAGGCCCAGAGTTCAAGCCCCATGACCGACAAAAAAAAAAAAAAAAAGAATCTCATGGACAGAGGTCAGACCCTGACTTCAAGCCCCAGGACTGACCAAAAAAAAAAAAGTCCTAAAGCCCTCATGTTTTTTTTTTTTTTGGTTGTAAGGCTTGAACTCGGATCCTGGGCACTGTCCATGAGCTCTTCAGCTCAAGGAGAGCACTCTACCACTTGAGCCACAGCACCACTTCCAGTTTTCAAATGTACATTATAACAAAACATTCTGAATCTGTTTGGGAACAAAATATGGAGTAGATAGATAAGAGTTATAAAATTATCCCAAAATGTTTGAGCTTTGTATACTGTAAAATGTTAAAAGCAACACTAACTAAAAAGGAATTGTTATATAAAACTATAGTTTTCAGCTAGGCTCTGGTGGCTCATGCTTGTAATGCCCAGGCCCTAAATTCAAGCCCCTTGATGAACAAAACCAAACAAACTAGAGTTTTCTAAACAATACATAGTCATGAAACCCTCTAAGGACTCACACTGGCTTTCTCAACAGCTGATGAAAATAGGTTCTGACGTTGAACTGCTCCTCAGAACATCTGTCATACAAGGAATTCACACAGACCACAACACACTGAGTAAGTAAACTTAAAAAACTGTGATTTCTGGCCGCAGTGCATTTTGACATACTGAACAAATCCTATACCCTTGTTTGTTTTATTTATTTATGTAAACAAATTTGATCTTGAATTTGATCTCAGAACCTTGCACTTGGTAGGAAAGCAGTCTACCATTTGAGTCATACCCCCAGCCTTTTGTACTTTTAGTTATCATTTCAGATTTTTTCCTAGGGCTGCCCTTGAACTGTAGTCCTCCTGTCTATGCTTCCCTTACAGCTGGATTTACAGGCATGAAACTTCCATGCCTAGCTTATTTGTTGAAATGGGTTCTCCCTAGCTTCCCTGCCCATCCCCCACCCCTCGGTCGCGGGGCTTGAACTCAGTGCCGTGCACTGCCCCTGAGCTCTTTTGCTCAAGGCTAGCACTTTACCACTTTGAGCCATAGCGCTACTTCCAGAGTTTCACGTACTTTCTTACCCAGGCTTACTTTGAACTGTAATCATCATATCTCAGCCTCCTGAGTAGTTAGCATTACAGGCATGATCCATGGGCACCTGGCTCTCTCTAGCTTTTCTTTCTTTTTTTTTGGTTTTGGTCAGTCATTGGGCCTGAACTCTGGGCCTGGGCGCTGTCCCTCAACTCGTCAGCTCAAAGCTAGCACTCTACCACTTGAGCCACAGTGCCATGTCCAACTTTTTCCTGCTTATATGGTGCTGAGGAATCGAACCCAGGGCCTCAAGCATGCAAGGCAAGCACTCTACCACTGAGCTACCTTCCCAGCCCCTCTCTAGCTTGTCTTCTGGTACTAGCTGATCTCAAACTGAGACCCCCCCCAATCTGTACCTCCTAAAGTGCTTGAAATTATAGGTATAAGCTACCACACCCAGCCTTCAATAGGGTTTGTGGAGTTTTTTTTTCCCATTGGCTGGATTTTAACCTTGATTTTGCCTCCTGAGTAGCTAGAATTACAGACATGAACCACTAGCTCCCAATTTCAACAGGATAGATTTTAAGTTTTATATATAAAGGACTTGAAGGGTTGGGATATTGCTCATGATAGAGTACTTGCCTAGCATACAAAAAGTCCTGGGTTCAACCAGCAGTACCAAAAAAAGGTGTTCAACTTTATAGAAATGGAGTCATACAAGATTTTCATTTTGTCTGGCCCTTTTTTATCTCAGTATTACATTTGTGAGATTCATTTATGTTCTCGTATTCCTTCATGTCATAGCAAATACTGTTTGGACTCATCACAGTGTCACAATTTATCCTTATGTTGTGGTTTAGGTTTTTCCCAGTTCAAGACTATAGTGGATAATGATCTTATGAATACCACGCATTTTGGTGGGGAAATGTGTGTAGAAACATGTGCATTATGACACACATCTTCAGAGCTAATATATAGTCGAAGTAAAATGTCTACATCCTAGGATCTGAGTTTTTCACATAGCAGTTTCCCAAAGTTGTTCTGACTCCGTGAGCAGCCGCAGAATAAGTGCACAAGCTCCACTTGTCCTCAGTCCTCACTCAGACTTGGCAGCATGTGTCTCTGTAGCCTTGCTGGGCCCTGTGCAGTGCATCATAGTTACTTTCATTCATGTACCTAGTAACTAACTGAAGGAATAGAGCACCTGTTTAATGGACGTTTGAATATTCTCTTTGATGAAGTTCCTGCTTGTCTTTTGCTCATTTATCTTTTCCTAAAGGGTTGTCTGCCTTTTCAGTATTGACTTGGAAGAATTCTTTCCATGTTTTAAATGCAGATTTTTTTTTGCCTGTCCTGGGGTTTGAACTCAGAGCCTGGGCACTATCCCTAAACCTTTTTTTTTTTTTTTTTTGGTCGTGGGGCTTGAACTCTGGGCTTGGTTGCTATCCCTCAGCTCTTCAGCTCAAGGTGAGTGCTCTACTGCTTGAGCCACAGTGCCACTTCCAGTTTTCTAGTGGTTTATTGGAGATAAGAGTCTCATGGACTTTTCCTGCCCGGGCTGGCTTTGAACAGTGATCTTCAGATCTCAGCCTCCTGAGTAGCTAGGATTACAGGCATGAGCCACCAGCACCCAGAGGTCCTGAGCGTTTTCTCAAGGTTAGCACTCTACCACTTGAGCCACAGCACCACTCCTGGCTTTTTCTGTTTATGTGGTAGTGGGTAATCGATCCCAGGGCTCCATGCATGCTAGACAAGCACTCTACCACTAAGCCACATTCCCGGCCCAATATTTTGGATAATCTTCTCCATTGTGACATGTCTTTGTCTCAGTAATGTTATCTTTCAGTGAAGTTCCTTTTCTTTTTTTTTTGCTAGTTCTGGGGCTTGAACTCAGGGCCTGGACACTGTCCCTGAGCTTCTTTTGCTCAAGGCCAACACTCTACCACTTGAGCCACAGTGCCACTTCTGGCTTTTTCTGTTTATGTGGTACTGAGGAATCGAATTCAAGGTTTCATGTGTGCTAGGCAAGCATCCTACCACTAAGCAACATTCTCAGCCCTGAAGTTTCTTGTTTTAATGTAGTTTAATTTTTCAGTCTTTTCCTTTATGCTGAGGATTTTGAGTTCCATGCAAAAAAATAAAAAATAAAAAGCTATCAAGTGAGGACATGAAGAGATTCTCTTGTGCCTTCTTCCTTAATTTATTGTTTGAGCCCTTTCATTTTGTTCTTTCTATTAACCAAAGTTGATATGGTGTGAGATAGAGGTTATTCTGGAAAAGTCTTCTCTTTCCCTTGTCAGTCACATTGATTATAGAATCAAATGGCTTCAGCTGGGTGCGTGTGTTTCTGGACTTTAGGATCTCATCTGTCAGTCTGTGGTTCCCTCTGTGATCACAAGCCACGATGTCTTGACTACGATACACTGGTGTCTTCCAGCCTGGTACAGTCTGTCAGTACTGACAGATTTAGAGAAAGGAATGTGGGCGGATTGCTTCTATTAGACACAAAGCTATTCATTGTCCTCAGGTCGCAATCTTAACTTTTGATTATCTTTTCTACTTGAAAACAGCTCGTTGTCCTGTGTTTGTCAAAAAATGCACGTTAAAATGGAGTTAATTTCACAGGCCATAGCTCTCAATCAGTTAAAGCCAGGGGCCAGGTACTGTTTTGTTTGTTTTTTAAAATCATGGTAAAATACACTTAACAATAGTGTGTGTGTGTATGTGTGCGTGTGAGTCTTGAGGCTGAAACGCAGGGCCTGCGCAATGTCCCTGAGCTCTTTTTGCTCTACATTTTGAACCAGAGTACTTCTTACAGTTTTCTGGTAGTTAATTGCATATAAAAGTCTCACAGACTTGAATGTGGCTAGTTTTGAGCCTCAATTCTCAGATCTCAGCCTTCTGAGTAGCTAGGATTACAGGTGTGAGTCATTGACACCTGGCATTGGAACAGATTTTTTTAACTGATGTTTTTAAAACTTGGTAAGAAAAAAATGTGGTTATGTGATTTTGTGCTTCTAACAAATGATGCCTTAGTGGAAAATAATAGAGATAAAAAATGATAAAAAATGATTTATTACCTGTAAGAATAATCAGCATGTTGTATACGTGAGCTCTAAATCTCCTTTTTTTTTTATTCCAAGTAATATCTATATTGAAAATTAAATATTGAATTTTGAAAAGAATTTCTCATCTGAACAATTTGTCCTTTTATTCCTTGAAAAAACAACAGTTTGAACTGGTACCAGTAGCTCATACCCATAATCCTAGTTTACTTGGGAGGCTAAGAATGAGGAGGATTGTGATTCAAGGCCAGACTATGAGTAAATCTAAGTCCCCTTCTCAGCACATATTTTGGTAGAGTGGCCTGTCACTCTAAGCTATGTGAGAGGCCAGAATTGGGAGGATCATGATGCCTGGCCAGACTCCATAGAAACGAAGCTAGACCTGGCAGCCTATACCTGTCATCCTAGCAACTACAAGAAGCCTGAAGCAGGTCCATAGTGCTTTGGTGAGAAGCAAGGCCCTGTCCTGAAAACAAACAAAGGAAGAAAACAAAAACCCAGGTCTGGAGATGTAGTTCATAGGTACTGTACAAACGCCCAGTACAAAAAAAAAAAAAGGCAATTAAATTATTTCAAGGTGATTTCAAGGTTTTTGTTGTTGTTGTTGTTGTTGTTGTTTTTGTCATATGTGGGGCTTGATCTCTGGGCCTGGGCACTGTCCCTCAGCTCTTCAGCTCAAAGCAAGCGCTCTACCATCGGAGCCACAGCACCACTTACGATTTTCTGGTGGTTAATTGGAGATAAAAGTCTCACAGTCAGGACTGGGAAGGTGGCTCAGTGGTAGAGTGCTTGCCTTGCGTGCATGAGGCCCTCGGTTCAATTTCTCAGCACCACATAAGCAGAAGAAGCTGGAAATGGCACTGTGGCTCAAGTGATAGAGCACTTGCCTTGAGCTGAAGAGCTCAGGGACTGTGCCCAGGCCCAGAGTTCAGGCCCCACGACCGACCAAAAAACAAAGGTCTCACAGACTTTCCTGCCTGGGCTGGCTTTGAACCATGATCCTCAGATCTCAGCCTCCTGAGTAGCTAGGATTACAGGTGTGAGCCACCTGCACCCAGCTTACTTCAAGGTTCTTTAGCATAGAAAGAACCATTCAATCATGGGAAGAATTCCTTTTTTTAAATGTTCATTTTCTCTTCCTTCCTTCCTTCCTTCCTTCCTTCCTTCCTTTCCTCCCTCCCTCCTTCCTTCCTTCCTTCCTTCTTTCCTTTCTCTCTTTCTCTTTCCCTTTCCCTTTCCCTTTCTCTCTCTCTCTCTCTTTTTGTCCATTGTGGGGCTTGAAATCAGCCTGGGCGCAGTCCCTCAGCTCTTCAGCTCAAGGCTAGGGCTCTACCACTTGATCCACAGCGCCACTTCTGGTTTCTGATGGTTTACTGGAGATAAGAGAATCACAGACTTTCCTGCCTGGGCTGGCTATGAACAGCGATCTTCAGATCTCAGCCTCCTGAGTAGCTAGGATTTACAGGCATGAGCCACTGGTTCCTGGCTCTGTTTCTTTTTAGTAGTACTGGGGCTTGAACTCTGCT